CGCGCCCGAGGGTGGACGGCGAGGGTAAGTGCCCGCGCGGGGGTGCCCCTGGCGGGATGGGGGCCCGGGCACCCCGCGCCTCAGGTGGGACTGGCGGCCTCCTCAGGGCTGGCCGCTGCCCAGCCGCCTGGCGGGAGGAACAGTTCTGAAAAGCACGGGACTGCCCAGATGTCTGGGGACTCCGTGCCAGGCCGCGGCCAGCGCTGGCCCGTAGCCCTTTGGGCACCAGACATGCGGCAGGTCTGCTGCCCAGCAGCTCTGATGGGCCCAGCACCTCGCCCCCAGTTCCCAGCCACCCAGGGGCCAGGCCTGAGCCACAGGGCACTTGGCTGCCCCTCCCCAGTCTGCGCTGTGAAGCCCCTGCTGTCCCCGTGGGCCCCTCAGCCTCTAAGGCACACACTGCTCCTGTCACCACCAGCGTCCCAGGCTCAGCCGACCCTAGAGGGTGCCCGCACCCTCCTGCCTGCCATCCCCTCCCCGCCACTCCCCCACCCCACCCCAGCTCGGAGGCGGGGAAGACCCTCCCACAGGGCTCCCTGGGGGAACTCAGTCAGATGATGCATCCCCAAGGCATTCCTTTGGCCTCTTACGCAATCAGTGGTCGATAAATCTTAGCTGCGTGTGTGCCTTTGGGAGGGTGGCAAGGTCTTCCTTCCTGAGCTCAGCAGCCTCCGCCCCGACTCTAACTCTTTCCCGGCTCCTGCCCTTGGGGGGGCGGGCAGTCCGGGGACCCTCGGTGCCTCCCCCACCTCCAGCTCACATTCCAGGCTTGGATATTGCTGGGGGCAGCCCTGTTTCTCCCCAAAGTCTGCACTCTGTGCATTTTCCTGTGTTTCCGCCCCTTGGCCCCCAACCCCCTTTGAATTCTCAACAGCATACAGGCCCCTGCCCTGCCCCTTGCGGGTCCCTGTCCTCTGTGTGGCCCAGACCTCCTGTTGGTTATGGTTCCAACCACCCCTGGCCCGTACTTCTCATAGGGCGTCGCCATAGTGCCCCTGAGAGCACTCCTGAGGCCCAGCAGTGCCCCCCATGCCCACCGGGCCCTTGGCTTTGGCAGCAGTTGGCAGGGAGGAGACTGCCTCCCCCTTGAGACTGGGGTGCCCCCCAGGCCTAGAGGGCTTAGTCACCTGGCACTTTCTATGTCCAGCACAGAACACCACTCCCTGCCTGGCCGAGGGGACATATTGGGAAGGTGGATTGTGACCGGTGGGAGGACGAGGGCCTGCTCATGGGAGCGGAGCCTTCACGGTGAGGGTGGGTGTGTGTGCCCTGAGCCAAGATGTGCTGACAGCAGTCTTGCAGACAGAACCCTGGGTTCCAAGGCCAGCTCTGTCATGGGGCAGGTGACGTCATCTCTCAGTTCCCTGACCTGGGAAATGGGGGGTAAACAGGAGCGGTAGGGTTGTGGGGGGGCCCAGGGGCACAGAGCGGCTTCTCCGTTGATGGGCCCTACATCTGCATCTTGGTCAGCGCCTCCAGAAAAGACCAAAGACAAAGGGAAGAAAGGGAAGAAGGACAAAGGCCCCAAGGCGGCCAGGAAGCTGCTGGAGGGATCCCCCAGGCCACCCAAGGCCACCAAGAAGCCCAAGGAGAAGCCACCCAAGGCCACCAAGAGGCCCAAGGAGAAGCCACCCAAGGCCACCAAGAGGCCCAAGGAGAAGCCACCCAAGGCCACCAAGAGGCCCAAGGAGAAGTCACCCAAGGCCACCAAGAGGCCCCTGGCTGGGAAGAGGCCCCCGACCCTGATCCCCTCAGAAGCCCCATGGTGGCCACTGCCTCCGCCCCTCAGCCCCAGCCCCAAGGAGCTGCCGCAGGAGGAAGGTGTGTGTCAGCTCTTCTGGGTGGTGGGCTCTGCCCTGCTGGACTGCAGGGAGCGAGGGGTGAGGGGGTCCCTGGTGGGTCCTGGGCCCCTGCTTCCTGCAGACCCTCAGGGCCCCCGCAGTTGGAGTGGAGCTCCCTCAGGTGGTGGGTGGGGGCTTGGTGGCCTGGCTGGGGGTTTGCTCTCACTGTCCTGGGATCTGTCCCCTGGATCCCACTCAGAGCCACCCCTTGTGTGTTGCTGGGCTCCCCAGGTTACCACCCAGCAATCGCCCTGGGAGTGCCAGCAGGGTGCTGAGGCCCCCTGGGAGGGAGTGAGGCCTCCGGGTGTCAGCAGGGCCCAGGAGCGACCCCTGGCCCCGCAGGCCTCTGTCTACTGCGCTGGTTTGTGTTGCAGGTGGGGCCTTCCCAGGTCCCTGGCCGGGTCCCGGAGGAGCGACCCCTGTGGAGCACCACCCTGGTGAGTGGGAGACCGACCACCTGGGCTGGTTGGGCTTCCAGGGGCCGTAGGGGCTGCCAGTGTGCTTGTGTCTCCTCCCAGAGCCGGAGGAGGAGCTGGAGCAGGAGGCGGAGCAGCCCACCCTGGACTACAACGACCAGATAGAGAGGGAGGACTACGAGGACTGTGAGTAGGACCCCAGTTGTCCAGCCACCACTGGCTCCACCTCCCCATCCAGATCCAGACCCCTGCCCTGGGGGTCCACGGATGATCCCCCTGGGGACCCCTCCCAGCCCTGCTGCCTCCCCCCGCTCAGCCCACCCTCTCCCCCAGTCGAGTACATCCGGCGCCAGAAGCAGCCCAGACCGCCCCCCAGCAGGAGGAGGCCCGAGAGGCCCTGGCTCGAGCACCCCGAGGAGAAGGCGGAGCCCCCGGGGCAGGGGGTCGAGGCCCCAGAGGAGAAGGAGAGGATCGGTAGGATGGGGCAGGGGGGCGGGGGCAGTCCTTCCAGGGGCTCTGTGCCCACTGCCTCCCCTCTCCACAGAGCCGCCTGGGAAGCCCCTTCTGCCCCCCGACTATGGGGACGGCTACGTGATTCCCGACTATGACGACAGTGAGTGCCCGGGGCCAGCTTGGAGGCCGTGCCCCGACGTCCCCACGTGCCACCAGCCTTGCTGCCCTCATTCCTCTCCTTGCTCAGGCTGGGCCTCCCCTCGACACCTTCCTGGTTCCTGACTCTGCCTTCTGCTCCCATCTCTCCTCCCCGCTCTGCAACCCCTCCCTCCAGCTCCCTGTCCCCTGGGATGACTCCCCCCTCCCTGGCTGCAGGCCTAGCAGGTCCTTGTCCTTTCCCTGTCCCGTTAACCCTCCAACCCTTGGCCCGGCTCAGCCCTCGTGACTCACCCCTCCTGGTCACTGGTGCCACTGTCACTCAAGGCTCCCACTCCCTGCCCAGCCCAGCCCACCTTTCCCCAGGCCGAGCCCTGCTGGGTGGGGCTGCTGGCTTCCTGGGGTCTTCCGGGCCCACTTGAGCCCAGGTGGCCTCTCGGTCCAAGAGGACCTCCCCCTCCTCTGGGCCTGTGTGGATTCTTCAAGGCCCACTGACCCCACTTCCTCATCGTCGCGGGCGCCCTGGGTGTAGCTGGGGGGCCCTGGGAGCAGCTGGGGGGCCCTGGGAGCAGCTGGGGGGCCCTGGGAGCAGCAGCTGGGGGGCCCTGGGTGTAGCTGGGGGGCCCTGGGAGCAACAGCTGGGGGGCCCTGGGAGCAGCAGCTGCCATCTCAGCAGGGCTCTCCCTCCCCCAGTGGACTATTACTTCCGGCCTCCCAGCCCGCCGAAGCCTGCCTCTGAGCTGGAGACTGACGAAGAGAAGGAGGAGCTGAGTGAGTGGAATCAGGCTGCCCCCGCCCACCTCCCCCTGCCTCCCCCTACCCGCCCACCTCCCCCTGCCTCCCCCTACCTGCCCAGCTCAGCCTGCCTCCCCCTACCCGCCCACCTCCC